TTTTTTTTTTTAAATTAAAGAGGAAAGTTTGAACTTTATGTCGCTGCATACGGCATTCCCTAAAAAAATTTTACAAAGTCCGTACGTTTCGTTAAACTTTGCAATTTTCAATGTGACAAACACACCCTCATATTTTTGAGAGTTACAATGGCAAGGGTGCATCAATCTTAAAATCTGACTACAGCGTCTTAAAGAAGAGATTTCAAGCTTTAATTTAAAAAAAAACCGTTATCCTACGATAATTTTTCGCAAAGTTATCGTTAGTCAAAATTGACCAATTTTTGCCCATAATTTTTCTATGCCATAATTTTTTTGAGCAGTGTATAAATTGTTTTAATAAAGACATTTAATTTTATGATTAATTAGGATGTAATTACTTTTTATCAAATATATACAGGGTGTCTCAGAAAATGTTACTGAAACACAGTGGGGACATAGATTGGATCAAGGGGAACAAAACAGTTTTGTACCATTTTGCAGTTGACGCAATATTTAACGAGATATTAACGTTTAAAGATAGGCGAATACGAGCATCCGACCAGCCTACTGATCATGTACTGCTGCCGGCAGGACGGCCTGTATATACATATATGTTATCAGATGTTTATGTTAAGAATATGAAAGAAAAACTTTTTTATCCTTTTATTTCTATTACAATAAATAATGAGTATATTTATAATGAGTATAATAATAGTACATATTTATAATTTGCAATATTTAAGAAATAAAAATTATAACTTGCAAATGTATATTATTTGCTTATATAGAACAATATAAAATAACGTCTAATGAAGAAGAATTTTTTATAACAGAACGATTAACGAATGTAAAAGGATAATTACTATAAAAATGTTCAGATATTTCAGTAAAAATAATCTTTTTGTTTATTGTAGCGTATATATAGGTTAAAAATATACAATAATTTCTCAATGGTTCAATATTATTTTTATGTAATTCAATAGTGATTTTTTACATTTAATAAAAAATTTATGTAAATAAAACAACTGATATACATATATATTTAGGTTAACCATGTAATAATCCGCTTAAAAAGAATAAAGTAAAGAATTATTAAAAAAGACTTACGGAGTTCAAATTCTCTAGCTGAGCACAATGCAAATATTGCACTGAATACACCGACCACGCAGAGCAACATATTCTCTGTCTAGTGTACCGGCGAATAATATGGTTAATTCTGGAATTTTACATGAATTTAATTCTCAAGAGAAATCGTATTAAGATCGAATGATAATGACTCTTGTAGATATTAATAAATAAAAATGTTAATTTCAGAGATTAGATTTTAATTTTTTTTATGCAAATGTTTCTATGCTATTTATATATAATCGTTGGATTTTAGATTATTGATGTGTGTGTATATCTATATACGCGCGCGCGCGTGTATAAGAAGAGGAAACACTTTTTAATAACTAACTTGCAGTGAACATTTATTTTATAGAATACATATTTTGTTATGTAATTTTATAATTTATGTGCCGTATTCTTAATATTAACAAACAAAATAGAGTTATATAATTCTTTTTATATACAAAAATTTATAATTTTTGTATATACAAATATTTATAATTTTCAATATAAAGGTATACAAATTATTATAAAGAGAAATAGCAAATTTTATCAGTTGAGAAGTGATACAAAAATAAAATAAGATTTACTAACAAATTTGTAAGTTTAAATCCTTCATAATTTTCGTATTATAGGATTTAGTTAAATCCTAAATTTTTAATCATCATAAATATTAATTCTTTTATAGCTTATTTTATTATTTTTTATTTCTACTGTTATTTTAGATTAAAAAATGAAATAAGCATTAACAATCAAAATTTTGTTTTGTTAACTACCAATTGTCGATCTTGTAATTGTTTATACTTAAAGAATATTAAGGATTAATAATGTATAAAAGAAAAGAGAATAGTTCTTAACACTATTTATGTGCCTTCTCAAGTAATAAAAAATTCAAATTTTTAGAATTTAATCCTTTGAAAAAGCTAAATTTTTATTTTATCTTTGAATTTAACTCTTACACTGTTAAATTTTATAGGATCAAATTAACTTAATGTGAGTCGCCATTACTCCTACTCAATAATATTGTTATTTTTTACTAAAACAATGATTATATTTGACATCATACAGTATCAATTTAACATTATATAGGGTCAAATTTAATTATCATTTTAGTAAAAAATAACGATATATTTAGTAGGAGCAGTAGCGACTCACATTAGGTTAAATTTGACACTGTAGATTTAAGGGGATCCTAAAGACGTCTGTATTACCGACTTAAATACGTATAATTTTTGCATAACACGAATACTCTTTTTTTCTTTCACGGATTCGAACATCCTTTTCCAGGATTGAAATATACGCATTAATACGTTTGTGAAGTGGAGCCTACGCTGAGAATGATCAAAAATTTCGAAATCAATATATTTTTTACCATTTTCTTGGTGTAACATGGCGTCTCAGCTGTCAAATCGTGAAAACATTTGTTTGATATGAAAGCTTTGCAACCCGAACGTACGAAATAATAGTTCCCAAACACGTAACTTACACGAACATACAACGTCGAGTTCTTAGAATTAGATTTAGACGCTTTATCGCGACGAATTCGTTGTACGAAAATTGACACGTATGTGTGACTGTGTGTATCATAGGCTATGTGAGATATTGCTGTGGTAGTATAAAAAGACATGTCGATGTGCCGCGCGAGGTGCGACATCTAGCGATTTCGTCGGAGTTCGAGCTTTGTTTTAGAATCCCCTTAACAGTGTACGATATATAGTAGTATAATAGTTTCTTATCAAAACAGTATCATTTATTATTGCGTGCATATATGAATTAGATAGGCAAAAAAATCATTAACTTCATTATATTCTCGCTACACCTGTAATCAAAACTTTGATCGATGATGTGAATAAGAGCTAATTGTGAGAATAAGTTACAATATTTTCAATTTTTTTTTTAATTAAAAGAGAATATTTTTTCGGAAATATGATATTGATTATAATCTAGGAATACGAAAAACAGGTGAGGAATAATTTTGCGTTCCAATTAATACTTTAAGTCATTCGTTTATTTTGCTCATAAACAATAGTTGAAAAACAAGGTTAACTTACAGAGTTTTAGAGAATTAGCCTATATACCTTTGCACTTATAACGCTAAACGTGTTTTTAATTTTATAAATAATTTGCACTCTAATGATGTGAAATAAATGTATAAATTTTATGGAAACATTTTTGAGAAGGAAACTTTTGCGAATAACCTATTGGCTAAATCAATAAAAAACTTTTCCCATTCTTTGGCCATGATTGGTATTACTGCTCGATGAATCGCAGGCCAGAATTCATTTACAAAATTTATGACAAGATCAGCTGAAAATAAGAGTAATTATATAACAACGTATTTCAGGATAAAACACAAATTAGGAAAATATATAAATAAAATTACAATATATAAGTGCAATTGTAGTTACATAAATAATTATTTTTACTATGTGATGTTATATTTAGAAAAATAGCAATAACAAATGAAAACGTTGCAATAAAGGACGATAAAATGTGATTCTAATTTGTAAAATAACATATATATACTTTTAAGTTTTATTTTTTAAATCAGTAATTATCTTTATCTCATTATTATGATTTATATAACATAATAAACGCATCGTAAAAAGTTTTCTAAATAAATTTCGAATATTTAGAAGATATTTCTGAAGAATTTTTTAAATCATCTTAATAAAGTTAACACATATCAATTTAATTTCTGAATTATACTGATATTTGAATTTAACAATTATTCCACAATGGTAAATAACACTAGCTTAGATTACGTTGACACTGATAGAGTTTTGTATTATAAGAGAATTAATAAATAAATAAATTTTCTCATATATGTATAAGATCTATTTCCAATTACTAAGTCTATTAATAAATCCACAAATATGATTAGCTATAGGTGCTTCAACAAGCTTAAATTTATCAAAGTTCATAAAGAAAAAAACCAACATGATAAAAATAATAACGAACAATCATATTCACCCCTAAGTCACGTTTGCCTAGCTGGCCCCCCCACTTAACAAAATCATAATGAAAAAATTATGGAATAATGCTCTATTTATGCGCTATATACCTATATCAGCAAAGAAAAATTTTTGCGCTCATTCCGTTCGAATGCGAGCATTCGTGAGGAAACGTTGAGCAAAAGAATGCAGAAAAAAATATTCGAATTTTTAATATGTTAAATTTTGTATAACTTTTGAACTAAGGGTGAACAAACTAAAATTCGGACGGAGCAATCGTGAACGAACGATGAGCAAACGAATGCAAAAAAAAATATTCGATTTTTTAATATTGGGGGGCTTGTGTGAAGTTGGCCTCCCAAAATTTAAATTTCGTATAACTTTTGAACTAAGGGTGAGCAAACCAAAATTCCGATGGAGCAATCGTGAGCAAACGATGAGCAAACGAATGCAAAAAAAAATATTCAGTTTTTTATATTGGGGGGCCTGCATGAATTTGGCCCCCCAAAATTTAAATTTCGTATAACTTTTGAACTAAGAGTGAGCAAACGAAAATTCCGACGGAGCAATTGTGAGCAAACGATGAGCAAACGAATGCAAAAAAAATATTCGATTTCACTATTCGAAAACACTAACAGAACGAATCCAACACAACCTGTGAGCTCGGGCGGCAAGTGTCTTCTTCTGGTCAGGTTGATATTCAAATGAAACATCACCTGGCAGAAGGTGTACGAAGATTTTCTCCTTTAACGTAAAACCAAAAAAAGGAAGCAATATGTTCCATGGTAACATTAGCGTTCGATAATAAATAATTGTATTATAAAATTGTTTATGGTATTTAACTAAAGAATTCCATCCGCCATATTGATTCAACCACTTTGAATTTTCAAATTTTCAAACGTCCATAACGATTCTGTCATTTTTCTTATTCAAACATTTTGAATCTAGATTCGTAATATTATATTTCATAATGTCTAAAAAAGAGAGTATAATGGAGAACCGCGCGCGTAGCGCGCGCAGGGGATGTGCTAGTTTCTTTAAAAATCAAAGTTACAAATTTTAGTTACAAAACTGTTTACTGGATTATTTTCTTTTTCTGGTGCAGAAAGTAATTTTCATAAATTTTCTAAACATTTTTTCCAATATTTGCATATTAAAATAATTTAGTAGATACGTGTAAATTTTTACAAAATTTTTCGAGCACTTTAAGAGCCTTAAAATCGAGTCGGACACGAATGACCCATGTGAGTCGTCCGACTCACACTTATTTTCGGTAAAGGTACCGAAAATAAGTGATGTTCCAGAGTTAATATTGTATTTCTGCGTTTTAACACTGAAGAAGGCTTTGTAAGCCAAAATGTTTATGTAGAATATTATTTAGTATTTATATTCTTATGTTAATTATATTAATTTAAAGTTATTCTAATTATAAGTTCGAAATAAGACACGATATTGTTTAATTAAAAAATATTTTTGTATGATCGTTTTTACTCTAATTTTAACAATTATTTATAATATAATTTCTAACCGTACGTATGTACAAATTATGTATTATTAGTATTTAATTAATTATTCAAAATAATTAAACTGACAAATGTTTAGTTAGAATAATTAATTAAATACTAATAATTCATAATTTGTACATACATATGATTAAAAATAATATTATAAAGATATATGTAACTCGTAAATTAAAATATCTGTATAATTCAGAAATTAAATTAAATTGTTGATGTATGTCAACTTTAGTCAGAAAATTTTTTTTAGAAGTCTTCTATATATCGAAAATATAGTTAAGTAAGGAGGTGTATATAATACCTATTGTTAAACAGTAAATTATGTGTGAGTTTTTATTTAAATAATTCAAATCCTACTGAACGAAATAACAACGAATGCAAGTATATTTGAATCAATTTAATACTTACATAACGCTTTGTTGCTTTCGGAAAAATCTTTATAATATATTTTAAACTTTCCAATTAACGGGGTAATATAGAATTTTTCAACAACCCATGTATCGTTTACTACATGTCCTGCTATTTCCCATGATGCTCTGACATCATTCATGGTTATATTAAAATTACCTATTATATAAATTATTTTAATGATGGAAATAGAGAGTATT